TGCGCTCTATCCATACCATATAATTTTACTCCATTATTACAATGGATTCATTAGTTCTTTTTTTAAAAAACAAAAAACAAAATAGATAGTCCCATTTGTCTATCTCTGTTTTCACATTCTTGGCCAGTGGTGTGACATCTTTGAAGATACCATTAGCTTCAATGTCATGGAGAGTTTTGCCAATTTTGTCATCAATGTACCTTACGGATTCTGGTCTGATGCTTTTTTTTTAATGTAGGAGTACTGCTATTTATTCAGCCACTGATTAGCTGATTGAATTGGGCATGAACTCCACCTTACTTCTTTTTCATAATTTTATTTATTTTTCTTCTAATATTTATTTATTGAATCACTGTGGGAAAAGTTACAAAGCTTTCAGGTTTAAGTCTCAGTCATACAATGATCAAACACCTTTCCCTTCACCAGTACTCATTTTTCACCACCAAGAACCCCAATATACCCCCCTCCCACCCCTCCCAATGCCTGTGAGGCAGATGATTTCTACTTAACTTCTCTCTACATTGATTAAATTCATTATTTAGACAAAAGATGCACCATTATTGTTTAGAATTCCCCCCCCCCCCCAACAACCAGAATTGCTGAAAAGGCATTGTGAAATACTTTGTTTTCTATAGCTGGTATGAGAATCATATAATGTTATATAATGATTTTGGATTTCTGCAAAGAGCCAGATCATTATGAGATTGGTTTCTGTGCGTCTGGTGTTATGGCTGTGCTGGAGAGCCACTCATGGGGGGCAACTCGTGACCTTGGTAGGGCATGAAGGATGAACCAGTACCACTCCCCTTCCCTTGAGACTGCAGTTGCCCCGTCACTGCCGGCTCATACCTGGGCTTTCCTACAGGCTCTGAGGTGGCGGCCACCTTGCTGCAGGTGGCGGGGAGTGGGGGAGGCAGAAGGGAGCAACATCCTTTTCCTCCTGGGGAGGCATGGAGCCATAGTTGAATGCATGGTCCATTCACTTTTCTGCTGCAAGCTGTTGGGCTCTGGACTAAGTCCTTTTGCCTCTGGAGCCATGGCCGTGCTGGAGAGTCGCTCGAGGGGGACAAATCATGACCTCGGTAGGGCGTGAAGGCCAATCCGGTATCTGGTCTGATGTTGAGATCTTTAATCCATTTTAATCTTACTTTTGTACATGGGGTTAGCCAGAGATCTGAGCCCACTTTTTTGCATGTAGCTGTCCAGTTTTGCTAGCACAATTTGTTAAACAGGCTTTCATTGCTCCACTCCACATTTCTTGATCACTTATCAGAGATTAGATGATCATATGTTTGGGGGGAGATGCCAGTATATTCAACCCTGTTCTATTGGTCTGCAGCTCTGCCTTTGTTCCAGTACCATGCTGTTTTAATTATTACTGCTTTGTAGTAGAGTTTGAAGTTAGGGAGGTTGATTCCTTCCATTTTCTTTTTCCCGAAAATTGCTTAACTACTCGTGGAGCTTCTGCACCTCAAAAGAAAGAGTGACCAAAATACAAAGACAATCTACAGGATGGGAAAGAATATTCTCCCAATACCCATCTGACAAGGGGTTGATATCAAGGATATACAAAGTACTGGTTGAACTCCACAAGAAGAAAACATCCAACCCCATCAAAAAATGGGGCGATGGAATGAACAGAAACTTTCTCAAAGAAAAAATCCGAATGGCAAAAAGGCACATGAGAAAATGCTCTGCATCATTAATCATCAGGGAGATGCAGATCAAAACCACAATGAGATATCATCTCGCACCACAGAGACTGGGACACATCCAAAAGAACAAAAGCAACCAGTGTTGGAGCAGATGTGGCGATAAAGGGACCATCCTTCACTGCTGGTGGGAATGCCGACTGGTTCAGCCCTTTTGGAAAACAGTATGGACGTTTCTCAAAAAATTAGAAATTGAGCTCCCATTTGACCCAACAACATCACTCCTGGGAATATATCCCAGAGAAGCAAAAAGTATAGTTGAAGTGACATCTGCACTTGTTTGTTCACTGCAGCACTCTTTACAATAGCCAGAATCTGGAAAAAACCTGAGAGCCCGAGAACAGATGACTGGTAAAAGAAACTTTGGTACATCTACGCAATGGAGTAGTATGTAGTTGTTAGAAAAGATGAAGTCATGAAATTTACATACAAGTGATACTACATGGAAAGTATGCTAAGCGAAATGAGTCAGAGAGGGACAGACATAGAAAGATTGCATTCATCTGGGGAACATAAAGTAACAAAATAGGAGAATAACACCCAAGAATAGCCAAGATAAGTACAGGAAGGAGGTTCACTCCATGGTTTGGAGGCCAACCGTACATGCTAGGAGAAAAGGCAGCTCAGATAGAGAAGGGAGCACCAAATAAAGGACTGATGAACAAAAATATTATTTAGTGGCTAAAAAACCTGAGATGGATTTACTGTCTTCTTCTAAATCATACTCTTAAGTTGGGGTTAAGGCAGTGCAAGTGGACATAAGTGATTTAAAGAATCCCTCGATGGACGGTAGTCTTTTACTTGTATATCATTGAGGTTACTTGCTTAAACAGCATTTGTCTACGAGTCTACAGGACAATTTTCAGGACTCTTTCTGGAGGACCTGGCATTTGTCCTTTCAGTTCTCCATTAATAATTGGACCTGGTTTAACACTAAGTATACAATTCATGAGAATATCTTTCAGAACTGGGAGACAGGTTAAAGGGCAGTGAGAATGGGCATTTATAAATGCATATATACCCAATATACTGGGGATATTGGTGGTGGGGAATGTGCACTGGTGAGTTGGGTGTTTGATCATTGTGTGATTATAAATCAAACATGAAAGCTTGTAACTATATCTCACAGCGAATCACCAAAATTGAAAAAAAATAAATGCATATGTGGACAACAAGATAGATTCTGTAATGTTTGCTTATTTATAACCTAACGTGGTTGACACATATCTAGAAACAAAACAAGTGATAATTTACTATTTAGACTGGTAAAATAAATTTCAAGACAATCTTTTAATTTCTTGCCATAATACCATAATTTCAATGTTGAAAAAATAGGATACCACATCTAAAATGCATTAAAAAGACTTATTTTATTATACCTGAAAACTTATTGTAACAGTATACAAATTACGAGCATCATGTATTCATGCTTTTTAAGATATAACAAAATTAACCTTGTGAGAAAAATTATCCATTGCCAACATCAGTAAATAACTTATTTATAAGAAAACTGTTTAATCCCTGTTTTAAAATATCATTTCTATGTAACAATTGAATGACATTAGAAAATCGTTAGGACTTTAGGCAAAGGGCTGTCTTCTTGAGGACAATGGCTACAACAGATTAATAGCCATTTATTAAAGATAGCCTACTAAGTATCATATGAGATAGGGGAAATTTAAATTTTCCTAGGAAAAAATATAAATTTATTATATGTCTGTAGATATGGTATTCTTGGAAGCCATACCAATAAGAATCAGTGTAGTAGTGGTAGAGGGTTAGTAACTGGTTTTCATATTGATCACTAAACTCAGCAATATTATAACTTAGCTCATAAGAACCATGCATAATTAAACATATTATGACAAAACAAAATTCATTGATAACAACAATATTCAAATTTTAAAGTACTGTGAAAGATAATGCAGGAGATAAGGCACTTGCCTTGCATGCAACCTACTCCAGTTTGATCCCTGGCATCACATATGGTCTCCCAAGCATAGCTGGGGTCATTCCTGAGCAGGGAGCCAAGTATAAGAATCTTTAGCACTGCTGGGTGTGGCCCCAAATGCCCCCTCCCCTGAAAAATTTTTAATCAGTAAAGTCTGCTTCAGGTATACAACTTCAGGCTTACAGTTTTACAATAAAACCAAGTTGCTACTTTTTGACACGACACTATGAAAAATACTTATTTGTAATAATTAAGCTAGCTAAAAACTTTTAGAATAAATTCAATTACATTCTAAGACAACAAGAGATATCTAGAGTTCTTTAACACGAGTTTAACAAGCTGTGTTATATTTTAGTCATCACTAATCATATGCACGAATTTCTAAACATTTCAGCAATATTTAATGCATAACTTGTAAGAGAGATTCTTATGGTGGTTAGTGGATAAAAATTGCGTAGAATATGGGATCAGCCATGATACCAATGAGTATCTCCAAGTTTGTTCAATATTATAGTGGATAGCTGCAGATTTTCTTTTTTTCTGGGACTCTTTTGGTTGGCAATTACAGAAACATGAATGCTGCTTTAAGGTTGCCTTAACTCTAAATAGTACTACACCAAAATACCATATTTTTGTAGTCTTAGATACAGTTGGTGCAACTTACTGCAATTGTAGTTAGTCAAAACTCATATAAGTGGAAAGTATTTTATTGCTGGTATTGAGAGGCTGAACCAATTCCCGGTGCTCATTAAGTGTGTTAAAACCCAAATTGGGTTTTAAAAAGCATGATTTGACTTAAGAAAACCTTGAATCCAAATAACAAAGTAGATTATGATTCTAGACCTTATTTGTACCTTACAAAAGGGGAAGAAAGAAAGTGTCTAGGTAGAAGTGGTGTCGGAAGCTGGAAAATTTTTTTTTTTTGGTGTCTGATTTATTACCTGTAGGGAGCTGTGAAGGTGAGGGAATGGCAAAATTGCTTGGTTCTATCTTCTATGAGTGATTGACCTGATAGAGTCAGCCAGTTTCTTTTAAGATATCAAAGTCCAACTGCAGTAAAATATTTGATTAAGAACTGTTTTCAGGGCTGGAGGAATAGCACGGCGGGTAGGGCGTTTGCCTTGCACACGGCCGACCCAGGTTCAATTCCCAGCATCCCATATGGTCCCCTGAGACCGCCAGGAGTGATTTCTGAGTGCATGAACCAGGAGTAACCCCTGAGCATCGCCGGGTGTGACCCAAAAAGCAAACAAAAAAAACAAAAAAACAAAAAAAAACACCACAAAAAACTTTTCTATTTGTAGACATGCTACAATAGAAAACAATATAGGCTACACTACAAAAAGCAAACTTCTAATTTATCTAAATAAGTGTAAGTGAATGTTTAAAAAGAAAGAAACTCTCAGAGCTTGGCTTTATTTTTTCTCTTTTTTACATTTTTTAAGCTTTATTTTTTGGTCATACCCAGCGATGTTCAGGAGTCACTCCTGGCTTTGCATTCAGGAATCACTCCTGGTGGTGCTCAGGGAACCATATAGGATGCTGAGGATTGAACCCGGGTCAGCCTCATGCAAGGCAAACACCCTTCCGCTGTGCTATCACTCTGGCCTCAACTTTATTTTTTCAATGACAGGGATCAAACTCAAGTCCTCTCATATGCAAGACAATTAACTGCCCTATAACTGATCCATATCTCCAGCTCTCAGAGCTTAGCATTTGGGAAAAATTAGCATGTACACCATCACCAGAACTAGATTTAATGTCTATCTGAAGCCCCAAGATGTTTTGCTAAGTCCTTAAATTATGGATTATCAATAGCCATATCCTATTCAGATTCCTTGGAAGTTTTAGGTTTACCTACGAGAAAAAATAAGAAAATTTGTAGAGGGTTTTCCTATTAAGATTCAAGGACTATAATTCCATTTTACTTGTGTATTGGTCTATAAGACTATAAAACTCTAATTGTGGAAATAGATTTACTTTTAAAATTTGAATGGGATTCCTTAATTTTAAAATCTGAATGCAGGGTCAGAGAGATAATAAAGATATTTAGGCCTTGTTTTCAGCCAACCCTTAGTTCAATCCCTGTACTGCATAACGTCCGCTGAGCACCTCAAAGAATGACTGATGAGCACAAAGTCAGGAGTAGCTCCTAAACCCTGCTGGGTTTGTACTCACTAAACAATGCTTAATGAAATGAGTGATCTATTCAGCAAACAATTATTTACTGCATGTTAATAATCATCCAAGGTCTGTGGGAAATTCTTAAATAACTTTTAGAAAAACTATTTTTATAATGACATTGCACTTATATTCAAAATAATTCTAGATAGTAGAAAGAATAATACCATTTCTACCTTACATGTGGATAAACTATAGGCCAGCACTATTTAATCTGCCTAAAATCATCAGTAGTACAGCCAGGACGAATAATTTCCATAGACAGTTAGGCTTGTGCTTCAGTTATTTGACTTTATAGAATTTCCAAATACTGATTAACCCATCCAATTTCTCCACTCATTTTTATAATTTTTTTCATTATTAAGCTTTCCTGTGTATAAATAACCTATATTCAAATATCACTAAAACTAAAACATAAGTAATGACTTCATAATTTGCTTCTAAAATGCAAAACACTTGAATAGAGCAATTTTCAATATTTATCAACAGAAAAAAAGACTATTATAAACATAAGCTCTGACTATATGGCAAAACTTTGGTTTCCCAGGTACATTTATGTATGCTTTTATAAATTGTATCATGATAATCATACCCATGAAGAAAATATAATTCAAAAAATCAAAGCAAATATGTAGGCCAATTTTGAAGATATGACTCTCAAATAAAGAATAAAGTGCTGAAGCAAAAGTTGTTCTAGAACAACAGAATTATTAATGCACAGAATTATTTTCTTATCCATAGTTTTATTACTATGAGTCTTAATAGGACTCAATACATCTGTGATTATTGTATGATAATTACAAAAGTTTGGTATCTTAAAGCAGGCAAGTCAATGTCCTTTATAAGTATTTTGTGTTCTTAGAATATCCTCTTCAATGAAAATCCTTTTCGACTTCTATAAGTTCTTTCCTTGGAAATTCTGCATGTCAACTAACTGACTGACATTTTTAATATTTTTCACAGTTCTTCCATCTCTCAGAAGATTCTGAGAGAAGAGTGAATGCTCAAAATGGGGTATCCAGTGTTATAAGTGTTATTCAGAGGACTCCTCTGGGTTTCCTAGATGTACACTTTCCTTGGGAGTCTTTGAGTTGGTGTCTTGTATGGCTTCTGAAGTTTCTGGCTGAAAACTATCTCCATCAAGGATAATGTCTTCAGGATTTGGAGGGGGTGGACAGAAGTCTTCATTAGGGCAGATTTGCTGGAATATTGTTTCAGCCTGGCCAAAGAAGAAAGAATATTAAAAGTTTTAGACATTAGCTTAAAATACACGCATCTTTTCTGGAACTGTTTGAAAAATGGATTAGCAGCATTAATCATTTATTTAAATTACCCAGTATATGTGACTTGCTAAAACAAGAGAAAGGATCATTTTTTTCCTGCAAAGAGCCATTGGATATGTTCAACATCATTTGCAGGCAATACAATACGGGGAGATGAGCATTGGGCACCTATGAGAAGCACATTTACGGGACTCATCATGTACTAGGGCCAAACCACGTGGTCACAGAGGCCAGTCTGTAGGATGCAATATCCATAACCACTGCAAATTCGCTTTCATATTCCCATAACTTCTATTTTATACAAACTTCAAGTTTATCCTTCCTATATGTCAGAACTTGAAATCTGGTTGTTTATCAAGAAGCAAGTAGGAACAAATGAGACTACGTTCAACTAAGAAGATTCTGTACCTCAAAAGAAATGGTAACCAAAATACAAAGACAGCCCACGGAATGCAAAAAATTATTTACCCAAGATAAGAATTGAGTGCTGAAAGTATGCATGATAACCTTACAGTCTCTGTACTGCAAACCATAATGACCAAAAGAGGAAAAGGGAGAGAGAGAGAGAGAGAGAGAGAGAGAGAGAGAGAGAGAGAGAGAGAGAAAGAGAGAGAGAGAGAGAAAGGAGAGGGAGGGAGGGAGAGAGAGACAGAGAGAGACAGAGAGAGAGACAGAGAGAGAGGAAGTGCTTGCCATAGGGACAGGGGAGGGACCCCCCACTGGTGGTGGGAAATGTACACTGGTGATTCCCATTCTAATTTTGTGATACCCAATCTAATTTAACATATTACAAGGCATTGCTGGAATCAAGAAAAAATTTTCATTGTTTGCTCAAAAATGTTTCAATGTTTGCTTTTCTGATATAAGTATTTTTCTCATTGGGTTTAAAGATGTTTTGCAATGTTAATGAATGTGCACAGTGTGTTCTGTTCAAAGAGGTCTTAGAAGGCACATATGGTAGTTTAGAAGAAAGCAGACAGTCGGGGCAGCACTTCCTCCTTCCTTCTGCCTTAAATGCAGAAGCAAGAGGTAAAACTGCAGCAGTAATGTTATGAAATTGAACACTAACACAGCAAGGATAAAGAGTAGAGACATGAGGAGCTTGGCTCTTTGAGAATTGCTGGAACAGTATCGGAGACAATCATGACATAATAAGTTGGACACTCATAAGATAACAAGTATCTCTCAACTTAATTTAAAACAACAACAACAACAACAACAACCCGGGCTTTACTTAAATCACAAACTGACAAATTTGCACTCTAAAGAGTTATGATTATGGGGGTATGGTGCCGCCAGCAGGTCAATCTGTACCTGTGAGGTGAGTGCATCAGCAGCCTCATGGCGCCTTCAGACTTCCGGATACCCAAAAATTGCTGCTGTGCCTTTGGCCAGACCCCAAAAACTTGGGCAAAGTTTACCAAGAAAGTAAATGGCCAAAAGTTAGGTATGTGGGAAACACACCCACAAACCACCTCTGGCTCAGCTATATAATTAGAGGCATGGTCTCTCTTGTTCCTGATTGAACTGCTTAATGGCCATGATCCCAGAGACTCAGAAACAAATCTCGAAACCCAGTGGCTTTTGGCAGAAATGCGTCCGGTCCCTGCAGTAGGTTACAAGTGCTGGGCCAACCCAGGTGGGAATAGGTTTCGTGACTTGGCCTGTTCCAGTGCCTGCCATTCTTCAGAGGTCACTGGACAGTCACGTTTGGCCCCCAGTGACGAGACACGCAGGGCCTCACGGGATGTGGGGGGAGCCGGGCCTGTCCTCCCCACCCCAACGAGACCCCAAGTCATCACTCACGAATGGCCTCTCTGGCTCCTGATCAAGTTGCTTAATGGCCATGATCCCAGAGACTCAGAAACAAATCTCAAAACCCACTGGCTTTTGGCAGAATTGTGTCCGGACCCCACAGAATGTTACTATCGCCAGGCCACCCCAGGGAGGAAAGGTTGTTGTCATTCTGCCTGCTTCCCCTTGGCAGCTCAGTGGCCATCATCCTCCAGAGGCCACTGGACAGTCAGGCTTGGGCCCACAGTGATGAAACGTGTTGGTCCTCACAGGATGGGGAGGGGAGCCGGGCCTGTCCTCCTCACTCCAACGAGACCTCAAGTCATCGCCCACGAATGGCCTCTCTGGCTCCTGATCAAGCTGCTTAACAGCCATGATCCTAGAGATTCAGAAACAAATCTTGAAACCCAGTGGCTTTTGACAGAAATGTGTCAGGACCCCGCAGCAGGTTACTGTCGCTGGGCCACCCCAGGGGGGAAAGGGTGTTGTCCCTCTGCCTGCTCCCCCTTGGGGGCTCAGTGGCCGTCATCCTCCAGAGGCCATTGGACAATCAGGTCTGGGCCTGCAGTGACAAAACTTGTTGGGCCTCACAGAATGGGGGTGGAGCCAGTCCTGGTCTCCCTGTCCCAACAAGACCCCCAGTCATTGCCCACGAATGGCCTCTCTGGCTCCTGATCAAGCTGCTCAACGGCCATGATCCCGGAGACTCAGGAACTAATCTTGAAACTTAGTGGCTTTTGGCAGAAATTCCTCCAGATTTAAGTGTTAAAATTTTGGAATTTCAAAATCACATGGTTCTACTGCAGCCACACAGCATCATATGTTATTCATAACCAGTAATAGAACACAAATTGTCTACTGTTGCCTTTTTAGCAGATCTGAGTGTTGGGGTAAAATCTCAAATAATAATGGTGGGTCTGGTGACAAAATATTGAATGTGATCAAAGTAGAGAGAGGGAGTAATGTGGAAATCATTTGCCCCACAGGTAGGGGGAGGGTATGGGATGGGGGTATACTGGGGTTTTTGGTGGTGGAGAATGGGAACTGGTGAAGGTATGGGTGTTTCATTGTATGACCGAGACTTAGACCCGAAAGCTTTGTAACTGCTCTCACGGTGATTCAATAAATAAAATTATAAAAAATGAAAAAAAAGTTATGATTAAATGTAATTTGGAGAATACTTATCCTACTTCTGAACCCTGCTTTCATATCTATGAAACAGTACACGGTAAGTTTTTATATGTGGATAGTTGGCCATATCATTGTTATTAATAATAAGTAAAAATTTCAATAACAAAATTGGATTTTGGCAGCCTAAAAAACATGGAAACAAATGTGTTTTTAATTAAGAAAAAGCAACTGAAATAAACACAAGTAAAAGAAAGAAAATGTGGCAAATAACACTGTATTTTATTCTAAACATTTTAGGATGAATACAGTTCACCATTACATATGTGTTCCTTTCACACTAAATAGCATGGATATCCATCCTGTCACTGTCCTCCCGTTGTTCATTGATTTGCTCGAGCGGGCCCAGGAATGTCTCCACTGTGACAATTGTTACTGTATTTGACATATCCAATATGTCATGAGTAGCTTGCCAGGCTTTGCTGTGCTGGGGAGATACTCTAGGTAGCTTGCCGGGCTCTCTGAGAGGGGCAGAGGAATCAAACTCGTGTCGGCCATGTTGGCTGCATGCAAGGCAAATGCCCTACCCACTGTATTATTGCTCAAGTCCATGGATATCCTAAATGGTAAAATAGTCATTAAAGAGTTTTAGGTGTTTCTTTTTAACTAGAGAGATACATCAGTAGGCTGACCAAATACTTTGCATGTGGGAGGCCCAAATTAAATTCTGTCACTGCGGGTGCCCCAGCAATGCCAGGATTTACCCTAAGCTCAGAGGCAGGATTTGCCCCTTAGCACCACCAGTTGTGGCCCGCATAAACAAAAACATAAAAGATGTTTGCTTAAGGCTACAATGTCATCCCATCATGCTTTAACCTTTCTCACTGAGGTACACAAAAGATCATCTACTGTAACAGTCCAGAGGGCAAAACAGTCTGTTGACTATTTTTGAAAAGAAACAAAAGTCTTAATGGAATAAAAGCATTCTTTATCAGTTGCCTATCATTACCTTTTGAATGCAATAGAGCTGAGTAATTGCAAGAGAGACATGGAATAAAAAATCTAAGATATTATTATCTGGCCATCTGCTGCATCAGGAATCTTTAAACATCACTAAAATTGATATTCATTTGGAATAAGTAGAAGGATAGTAAGCAGAAAGATTTGAGATTTGGTGTGATGTTCAAAAGAGGAACAAGGAGAGGAAAAGTAAATTCTATCCTTCTTGAGTACATTCTGGGACATGCAATTTTTTAATATTAAATATTTCGTACAAATGATTTGGTCTATTCTGAGACCTCAATCTCTCTCTCTCCCTCTCTCTCTCTCATCTTTGCAGATAATGCTTAGTCACAGCCCTCATAAGGAGGACTGTGGTCAGAGAGAACCTCTACCTCACATATAAATTCCTCCAATAGCCTTTTTGTTTTTATCTCTACCTTAGTCTGTTTGTGACTACTTTTTCTCCCTTTTACTCAATTCATACAATCATCACTAAATACTGTTAATTATATCTCCTAGTTCTTGACTCCTTCTGCTCTTTCCTTAGTGTTATAATCCATGAGTGTACCATATTTCTCTTAGATAATGGCAACTGCCCTCAGAGGAGTCTACAGAAAGTAAATCTCTGTTTTATTTTTTTTCCTCTTTTTTATTTCCTTAAAATTATTTTTTCCGTTTAGAAACAAGTTCACCAGGAAACCAGCTCCCCTCCCCCTGCGCCATGAGGCTGCAGGCCTCTTTTTTGAGACAGCGCTGATTTTCCCTCACACCCCCAAACAGGAACTCCTTGGGGTGGCCCTGGAAGGCTGGAGTCTTTCCCTTTTTGTCGGGATGCCCTGGTGGCAGTGAAGGCCCCTCTGCCACACGGAGGTTTCTGATTGTGGGACACAGTCTGGTTTTTGTCGTCTTCCTGTCTTCTAATTAAAAAAGACATTCCTGGGTGACAGGCACAGTGCAGGAGTGCAGCTATCGGAACAGCCTGGTGAAGTCTCGCAAGGCCCAGCAAACTTGTTTACATTCCTCAGCACTAGTGACTTGCTTGTGGAAGTCTGTAAGCTGTTTGTGTGTCACTGTCACAGCTCCCACGGTCGTCTCCTTTGGCAAACCTTTCAAGGAATTCTCTAACCACCGACAAAAAGTCGGTCTGTCAACCTGCATGATCTCCCAGAGCACTTCGGCCATGTCTGGTAGTGTATAGGGGGGGAGGCAGAAGCAGCACGTGTGGAGCAGCTGGCTTACGAGCTGTTGGCCAAGCTGGTTCATCACTTGTCCAATCAGTTCTTTCTGTAATTCAAAGTCGTCTTCATGATCATTGACTACTCCTGTGTGGATGAGGTCTCGTAGGAATCTCATGACACTACAATTGGCATCCCGGTGGTCGAGGGTGGTATAGGCAATGGCCCACTGTAAAATAGGAATGACCACTTGGCTCCTCAGTAAGGTGACAGGGCTACGTTGAATAAACCTGGTGGCTAGCCTGAACAGGTCGTCCACGGTGTCGGGGTGATTCTGCAGCCTGTTCTGCTGTTCCAGGAGCTGAAAGGTGGGGATGCACAGTGCCTGGAGCATGTCCAGCAGCCCCTGCCGACAGCCCTCCTCCATGCCATACACATCCACAAGGATACTCCCCAGGTACAGGAAACAGGAATGCTGATGTACATGGTACACATTCACCATCTGTGTAACGAGCGGCTGCAAGAGGGCAGCAGAGCCTTTGCCGACACAGTGGACGGCAAAGCGGAGACACCTGCAGCAATGCTCCACGATCCGATTATCAGCCCGATGCTTATTCAGAGTTTCAGACAAAACTGGCCAGATTTCCTGTATGACTTTTTGGCATGGATGAGTCTGTCCATTTTCCACGATGGGATTGGTATGTCTAAATATCACTGCGAGGCGATCTAAGAACACAGTGGGGTCTGATGACAGGCCGTTGCTGGGCTCCTGAGACAACAGCTTTTTCAATGCCATAACCTGTACAGAACATAGTTCACTAAGGCATTCAGTAATCTTATCCAAAGGTAATCTGGCTAGGACAAGTGATGTTCCTTTCAACAAGCCCACAGCAGCTTCTGGAGACAACATAAAGGAGTCAAGGGAACGGGCAATCTCCAAGAGTCCATTAAAGTGCTGAGCCATGTGATCCCGGCAAACAGAGCATAAGTTGTGAATGGCTTTAGCTGCAACAGAAGCCAGAGGCTTTTCACACAGGTCTTTCATCAAGTAGCCCAACACAGGGTCAAGGAACTGAGGGTTTTGGTCGACCACTTCACTCATCTCTCCGACCAACTCAATGCTGGTGTAGGGCACGGCGGTATGCACGCTCTCAGGCAGCCGGACCACACCTTCCAGGACCTCCACAAGGGTCGGGTTGTTCTCCGGATCAACACTCTTTGCTATAGCAGCCATGATAAAGAGAACCGCTTCTGTCACCTCCCAGGGTGGGTTGCCTTCTTTCAGAGTAGAATATAACTGAGCAAAACACTCCATAGACCCAATCAAGAAAATCAAGTCTTTCACCAGTTCTGATACCCTCATCCGAAACTCCCCAAAGTTGTCAGTCTCTTCAGGAACCCCCTCATGGTCTGGTTCCAGCTGGCAGTTTCGAGCCAAGGCATGAAGCAGCCTCTGAATGTAAGCTTTGAAGATACCATGAATTACTTCATCATTAGTTTTATATAAATGCTCTCCTAGTCGATACCAAAAGTTAAAGGAAATTTCTACAACCTCATACTGCGGATGTCCTGCACAGATAAGAAGCAGTTCTAGGGTCCACAGGTCCCCAAGACCTTGGCCTGGAGTACAAACAATTTTCTCAAGAAAAGTTTCACATAGTTCAGTGAAAATACGACAGTAATTCAAAATTTTGTCTAAATCTTCACGTGCCACAGCCATGTAATAGGCGGTCTCCAATGTCAGAACTCCTTGAAAAAGTTGCATGGCTAATGGCAAATTAGTTTCCACGTTCTCAATCGCATAGAGAGCTGAGCATACACAATCTGAAGCAGCTTCATGAAGGTTGGATGAGGTTTTATCCTGTTGCAAAACTTCAAAAAGGAGTGCTAGTAACTTATTATTAGCCATAAAGTTACTGTCTAAAACTCCTAAATTAAACCAACTTCCCAAACAGCGGAAGACCTTCATAAGCATTTTCTCATCCGTTCCTGCTTTTTCTACACAGGTCATCAATAGAGATACTACTGTACTAGAGTAGAAGGCCAAATCTTCTATAATTTCCATATGCCAATTAGCCCCAATATGTAAGGAACGGCTATGTACTTCTTCAGGTAATACTGTAAGGATCTCCAGCAGAAAAGGCAGAGAAGTTACATCATTGCTATATTTTTCCACTATTGCTATATATATATTGCTATATTTTTCCAGGAAGGCATCTGTAGGGTAAGGTCTGCTATTGCTAAAGCCAGCTGTGTTACAATGACAGGTGACAAGTCTTTCAAGTTCTGGATATGAGTTAATAATGAGTCCCGTAAAGAGGCATGAGAGTCTGTGGGGAGCTCATAAAATGAGGTCTGAATCTTCATTTTCATGGTCTGTGCAGCAAAATAGCATGATTCCACATCCTGACGTATCTGTAACAACTGGTCTGAAATCTCCCATGTGTGAACCGAACGCTGCAGCTCCCCCAGCCAAAACGAGGCACGCTCCTTGCCGCTGGGGTACGGGTGGTGGTAGAGCGCCTGCACCGCCTGGTACACGAGCTGCAGGGTGGGCTTGGCCCACCGCGCCGGCCCTCGTCCTGAGCCGTCTCTCCGGGGGGCTGGCCCTCTGCCTTCGCGCCTCCTCACTGTGTCGGCCACGGACGCTCCCAGACTGGCGCCATCTCCTCTTTGGCCGTTACCGGGGCAGAGGGGGGGTTCTCCCTGGAAGTCGCCCCCCTCGGAAACAAGAGGTTTGAGCGTATTCCGGTTCCTGGGCCTTTTTCTTTCGTTCTTTCTTTTTTCTTAACCGAGGCTCTTCCTTAAAACAGTCCAGGCTTCTTGAGTCCCGACGGGGGTGCCTCGCAACCCCCCCCCCCACCACCGCCGTTACCGCCGCCACGACCGCCGCGGACTCTAAATCTCTGTTTTAAAACTTTGGCTTAAAACTTTTTAAAAACTCTGCATTTCTAAAGAGTGCTGCAATGAACAAACAAGTGCAGATGTCACTTTGATCATACATCTTTGCCTCTCTGGGATATATTCCCAGGAGTGGTATTGCTGGGTCAAATGGTAGCTCAATTTCTAATTTCTTGAAAATGGTCCATACTGTTTTCCAAAAGGGCTGAACCAGTCGGTATTCCCACCAACAGTGAAGGAGTGTCCCTTTCTCACCACATCAGCGCCAGGATGGGGAAATGGGTATGGGAGGGATACTGGGATCCATGGTGGTGGAAAATGGGCACTGGTGGAGGGATGGGTACTTGATCATTGTATAATCGAAACCCAAGCACAAAACTTTGTAAATCTACAACTGTACCTCATGGTGTTCTACTAATAAAAAACAAACAAACAAAAACCTCTGCATTTCTAAAAGGATACAAAACCAAGATATCTCTAAGACAACACAATACCTTTCATGTCACCTTCCCTGGGTTTTATCATCATCTGCTTGTAATTCCTGTTTCCTTTCAGATTTCTGCTTCATTAATACCTTCTATTTGTGCTTTCATAAACAGACCTTGACATTTACAATGCAGATGACATAACAACTGGTATGTTTCAGATCAATTATACTTGAGCGAAGAATTGCTGCTCATCTTTTACATACTTCTCTGTAAGGCCCTTTGATTCTTAAAGATGAGTTGCTTATATTGATTTCGCTTTTCCCATTTGCAAATTTTAATTGCTCATCAAAAAATTCAACATAAAATAGTTACTAAACTATATTAGGCATCCATTTAGCACATTTAACACACATACAAACTATTATTTTACTTATTCTAAGTACTGCATAATATAATCTCATTTAGACACTGACCTATATGATGGTTATTGGCTGCCTACTTTTCAGCAGTAGGGTTGGTGAGAATAAATAAATCAAATTCATCATAGGGTGAATGTGGGGAAAGAAAGGAAAATACTATAATCAAATGCATCATATATTAATAATTACTATAAGGGAATCAAAATAGTATTTGGTAAACTTCTGACTAGATTTTTAAGGAATATTTCTCTCAGGAGTAAATATTAAGCTGAGATTTTAATTCTAGGAATCAATCAATCATGAAAAGGTTGACAGAAGTGCTTAAGAAAAATCTGATTCAAAAGACTGTAGTGGAGAAATAAACAATGGAAGGTAGAGGGGAGTGAGAAGCCAGTAACTTGAATATGTCATGGGGAGTTTGCCAGGCTTTGCCGTGCGGGCGAGATACTCTTGATAGCTTGCCAGGCTCTCCGAGAGGGGCAGAGGAATCGAACCCGGCTTGACCGGGCTGGCTGCGCGCAAGGCAAACGCCCTACCGCTGTGCTATCGACACAAAACAAAAATATTCTGTCAACAAAGCAATTTTAAGTATATATAATATATCTAAGTTAGTAATCTAAACGTTGCATAACATAACACATGTGTGATCAAACACTTCAGCCAAGCAGACATGCAGTAAAATCTTAACTCAAAAACTTTGAGGTAAAGTGACCTTTGGACAAATTATTCAGTTCATTTGAGTCTCAATTTTTTCAGCTATAAAATGGAAATATCATGGATACATATCTCAAGGTGGTGCTATAAGGCCCAAAAAAGACAATATATGAGTGTGTGTGTATATATATATATATATATATGTGTGTGTGTGTGTGTGTGTGTGTATATATATATTTAGGATAGTGTCTGGTCTGGTACACATACAATATTCAAGGCACAGTACCATTAGAAAACATCATGTCTACAGTATCCATTATGTAACAATACATAAGATGCATATCAAAAGTTCTAATGAGTTGATAATCTGTTCATAAATAAATGCTCTCTCTACATGGTAGTTTTTGCCAGCCCAAACCATATCAGGCAATTTATTTTTATTTCTTCTTTTCATTTATTTAGAAATTAAAGAGCTGTGATTTACAAAGTTATTTGACCATTGGGTCAAAGCAGAAATAAGAGAAAAAAATAAAGTAACTCTTTGGAGGGCTGGAGAGATAGTGCAGTGGGTAGGGCATTTTCCTTGCATGTGGCCGACTGGTTCAATTCCATATGGGCATCCCATATGGTCCCCAAACATGCCAGAAGTGATCCCTGAGAGGAGCCAGAAGCCAGCCCTGAGCACACAGGTGTGGCCCCCAAACAAAAACAAAGAAAATAACTCCTTGAAAAGAACATGAATGAAGACACAAATTATAAGAACTTGGGACACAGCAAAAGTATTACTAAGAGAGAATTTCATAGCAACACAGGTTTACATCATGAAAGAAAATAAACCATATAGCCTTATATCTCAAAGGACTATAAAGAGAACAACACATGAAACCCAAAGTCAAAAAAATACATATCAAGCTGAAATAAATCAAATAGAACCAAAGAAGACAACAGAAGGAAACAATGCAGCAAAGATCTGATTCTTCAAAAAAAAAAAAAAAAAAAGGCGTTGATAAGATCTAAGCTATGATCAGAAAGAAAAAAGAGAAAACTCTAATAAACAGGAATAAAAGTAAAAGGGAAGATGTTATAATATGCAAGAAATAGAAAAGATCATAATAGATTATTATAAATAAATTTATGCCTCTAAGTTAGAGAGCTAGAAAAACTGAACACATTTTTAGATTCCTTTACTTTCTAATACCTAATCTATAGTGAATGAAAACTCAAACTGGGAAGTTACAAGAAAGAAAACTGAAAATATTAATAAAAAGTCTCCTCAAACTAAAGCCCAGGTCCAGATTACCAGGCTTTAATAGTGAGTTCAACAAAATTTTTACAAAATAACTATTACCTTTCTTTTTTAAGTTCCTCAAAAAAAAATTGAAAAAAAAATTCTTCCAATTTATATAGAAATGGGTATAATACTACCTCTATCCAAAAAGCACAGAGATATTTCACAAAAAAATGAAAATTAGCCATCACTATCCATGATAAATACAGATACCAACATCCTTTCCTTACTTTTTATTAATTAAATATACATTAATTGCAGGATCAAACTTTCTGATGAAGAGGGATTTATTTTTTAAAATAGTTTTCCAAGAGGAATTTAGCCTAGGGATACAGTGGTGTCTTTAGTGATTTGACTCCACTAACAAGAAAAATAAGAGCACAAATAAATGGTATTATGTCAAACTAAATGCTTCTGTGCCATCAAATAAACTATTACTAAAGTTAAAACTGATCCTATTGAGTGAGAAAAAATATTTGCACACTATACATCTCACTAATAGCTAATACCCAAGAGATATAAAGCAATCCAAAATATTGACAAAAAAAAACCCCAATAGCCCCATCAAATACAGAAGGAATGAACAAAAATTTCTTCAATGAAGGCATAAGATAGCCAATAGTTAGAGGAAAGAAATTCTCGGTATCACTGACTATCAGGGAAATTAAATTCAAAACAGTATGAGATCACCTCACACCAGTGAGAACAGCCTATATCAAAAGGCCAAAAATAAATGCTGGTGAGGGTATGCAGAAAATGAAACCTCATTCATATTTGGTGAGAATGTAAAATTGTTCAGCTTCTACAGAGACCAGTAGGAAATATTCTGAAATAATTAAAAACAAAACATATGACTCCACAATTCTACTCTTAAGTATATAGCTAAAAGCACACAAAAATAATTTGAAAAGATGTGGAAATATACCAATGTTCACTGTATTGCTTTTTATAACAGCTTAGATCTGAAAATAATTCAAAATTACTAATATCAGATGAGTGCTTAAAGAAGAGCAGTCTATTTACACAATGAACTAATACTCATTTATTTTTTAAATAGATGATCTTATTGCCTGCTACAGCTTGGATAGAACTGGAAGCTGTTATGCTAAGCAAATAAGTCAGAGGGAGAAAGCAAAATACCAGATGATCTTACTCATTCATGTACACGAAAATGATCTTATTCATATACACGAAGAAATAAAGCAAGAGTACAAAAATTTCCTACTAAACAACATCTATCAACTCTGAGGACAGAATTGAGGTTACCACGGTGGGGGAGTTTATTTGAAAGTTCCTATGATCAGTGCTGGAGAAAGTATGCTAGCTAACAGTATAACCATAATACATAAATTTATTGTTGCAAACTAATGCTACCTCAATTAAAAAAAAGGGGGGTCTGAGCAAGAGCACACTGGGAAAGACACTTGCTTCGCATGCGACCTACCTAGGTTTGATCCCCAGCACCACATAAAGTTTCCTGAGAATTGCCAGGAATGATCCCTCAGTGCAAAGCTAGAAGTAAGCCCTGAACACTGCTAGTAATGGCCCAAAAAGTAAATAAAAATTACATATATGACGAATATGCATAAGGATAAGTAACATTACAGTATGTTATATAAATATATATGCATATACATACACATATACATAAATATATCTGTATATATATATATCAGAAGAATAATATCCGTGGCCAGGGAAAACAGGGGTTAGGAGGACTGGTCAATAATTGGAAATAACCACAGATGTGTGTGGGGCTGAGGGTAGGTAATATAGATAAGAGACTGTTGTGACAATAATAGCCGGAAATGATCACGTTGGACAAGATCTGAGTGTTAAAACATGTAAAGAGGTATTATGGATAACCTTTCAGTATCAATATTGAAAACAAGAGAGAGAGGAGAGAGAGACAGAGAGAGACAGAGAGACACACAGAGAAAGAGAAGGAAAGTGCCTGCCATAGAGGCAGTAGAGGCAGGCAGGAGGTGGAGGTTGGGGGCTGATGGGAGGGAACCTGGTGACAATGATGCTGAGAAATATACTCTGGTAGAGCCATGGGTGTTGGAATACTGTATGACTGAAATCCAACCATGAATAGGTTTGTAAAATAAAAACATCCAAAAGAACAAAAGCAACCGATGCTGGTGCGGATGTGGCGAGAAAGAGACGCTCCTTCACTGTTGGTGGGAATGCCAACTGGTTCAGCCCTTTTGGAAAACAGTATGGACAATTCTCAAAAAATTAGAAATTGAGCTCCCATTTGACCCAGCAATACCACTCCTGAGAATATATCTCAGAGTGGCAAAAATGTATAGTCAAAATGACATCTGCACTTGTTTTTTCACTGCAGCACTCTTTACAATAGCCAGAATCTGGAAAAAACCTGAGTGCCCGAGAACAGATGACTGGTTAAAGAAACTTTGGTACATCTACACAATGGAGTACTATGTAGCTGTCAGAAAAGATGAAGTCATGAAATTTACATACAAGTGGTACTACATGGAAAGTATCATGCTAAGCGAAATGAGTCAGAAAGAGAGGGATAGATATAAAAAGATTGCATTCATCTGGGGGACATAAAGTAACAAAATAGGAGACTAATACCCAAGAATAGCCGAGATCAGTACCAGGAGGATTACTCCATGGCTTAGAGGCAAGCCGGGCATTCTAGGGGAAAGGGTAGCTCAGATAGAGAAGGGAGCACCAAATAAAGGGTGTTTGGAGGATACTCCCAGGATGGGAGATGCATGTTGAAAGTAGACTATGGACCGAATATGACTGCCACTCAATGCCTCTTTTGCAGACCACAACACCCAAAAGGAGAGAGAAAACAGAGGCAGGGTGGGATGGGGGGATGGGGGTGGGAGGGATACTGGGATACATGGTGGTGGAAAATGGGCACTGGTGGAGGGATGGGTATTTGATCATTGTATAATTGAAACCCAAGCACAAAAATTTGTAAGTCTACAACTGTACCTCATGGTGTTTCACTAATAAAAATATTTAAAAAAATAAATAAGAGAAAGGCTTTTCTGCTTGCATTTTTTTTACCTCCCAGAATAAAAAACAAATAACTTTCTAATAAAACCAAACTGACAGAGAATGAGAAACCACAATAAAAAAATATTACCTGTCTGACTGCAGGATCATTACCTAAACCACAGTCGGGGCCAGAGCAGACATAAACATTGGGTGGTAAATCATTGTAGGAGTTCCTGCTGACATCTGAAGAATCTCTCATATTAAAGTAAATAGCCCACAGAAGTCTTGGTTTTTCCACTTCTTCATTTTCTAAAAGACAGGCAAAAATTTTACCTATATTTAAAGCACAATATATTTGTCAATTACTATAATAGTCATTTTTTAAACAAAGTTCTGATGTAGCATAGTAAATTTTAACTTTGTATGAAGTAAATTAATAAATTTGTAAATGTATATTTCTATACATGTATTTGGCATTTTAAACAATGATAGCTTTTCAGTCTAACCAAAGACATTAGAATTTAAATAATTTAAATATCAAAAAGATTAGATTAATATCTGTATTCTTCCCCTGGATTTCTTATACTACTCTGAAGCCTTACCAAAGTGCTTTTAAACACATAATCTTAAAAATTATGCCTATGAAATAAAAATTTAAGATGAATTATTTTGCTTCATAAAGCTAAATATTATATGAGGTGTATGTATGTACATGATTACGAAATGTCCAGAACAGGCAAGTCTATAGAGAAAGGGAAGAGACACATTTTGGGGGGCCTGGGAGGAACTAGAATTAGAAAATGATGGATAATGGTAATAAGGTTTATTTGGTGTTTTAAAAGCTGTGGTGATGCTGGAAGTCTACCTCAAGTGCAGGGGGAGAAGGCAGTTGGGATAGACGGGATCACCATGACAAAGATAGTTGGAAATATAGGCAAAGGAATATGATAATCTCTCTCAGTATCTGTATTGTAAACCACAGTGCCAAAGGGGGAGGGGAGGAGAGGGGGGAAAGAGAGAGAGAGAGAGAGAGAGAGAGAGAGAGAGAGAGAGAGAGAGAGAGAGAGAAAGAGAGAGAGAGGGAGAGGGAGAGGGAGAGAAGGAGAGGGAGAACGAGGGAGAGAGAGGGAGAAAAGAAAAGTGTCTGCCAAAGAGGCAGCAGACTGGGGGAGAGTGGGGTGAGGGAAACTGGGGACACTGGTGGTGGGAAATGTACACTGGTGTAGGGATGTGTGTTGGAATACTTTATGACTGAAACCTGACAATGAACAGCTTTTTAACTATGGATTTCAAGGTGATTCAATGAAAAGAAATGGTGATATCTGAACAATTTTTGAATATATTTTAAAACATTTATATTCATACATAAGCAAATATATGTGAATTATAACTTAATAAAGCTGTCATTAAAATAATATTTTAGGATGAAAGCTTTTGTTTTTAACTCAATGTTCATTAATGTTTTGACTATTTGAATATGAAAGTAATAACAACTTCCAAACAAAAAAATAAAATTGTAAGGCTGAAAGCCATTTTTAGAACAGATGCTTTAAGTATTATAGGTATTGGATTATCAGTTATGAATACATAAATAAAGTAGACTGAGTCCTTCTCTGGATTTCTTATGGTCCCTCGTACATAGCAAACTTTAATGAATGGGGCGATTCATCCCCATATGTTGAGTACACAACTTTCTCTGGGGCACATGTGACATTCTCCAAGATAAAACTATATTCTGGGTCAAAAAAACATGCCACCCTTTTGTTTCACCCACTGCAGTGCTTGCATGGCTCATGGACTCTCCAGGGGTATTATTCCCTGTGCCTGTGTTCAACTTTGTGCGGCATTTCCCCTGCATTGTTTTCCAGTTTATCATTGTCACCCCGCTCTCGAGTAGTTGCTCTCCCCTATATCTAGTCTGTGGAGCTGGGAATAAAAGTTGTTGATTACTGTCTGGTGATCTGTCTGCAAGCCATCCCTTGTCTATCAGCCAGGGAAAGTATATCGGCTCCAAACGCACCCAGGGACCCCATGACCATGGGATGGTGACTATGACAAATACGGGCAAAAAGGAGACCTAATTCACTGTTGATAGGAATATAGTCTGGTTCAACCTCTTAAAAAAATAAGGTTGACCTGTGTCTCAAGAAACAGAATTGATGGGGTTGGAGCAATAGCACAGTGGATAGGGTGTTTGCCTTGCACGCGGCCAACCCGGGTTCGATTCCCAGCATCCCATATGGTCCCTTGAGCACCGCCAGGAGTAATTCCTGAGCTCAGAGCCAGGAGAAACCCCTGTGCATTGCTGGGTGTAACCCAAAAAGCAAAAAAAAAAAAAAAAAAAAAAAAAGAAACAGAATTGAGCTTCCATATGACCCAGACATTTCATTTCTTCACATCTACCTTAAGGCCCCAAAACACTATTTTGAAAAGACATTTATGCCAATGTTCTTTACAACAGTACTCATTTGTGGGATATTTTTCCTTTACCACTGGAGAGAGTGAATATTTTTTCATTTTTATGAAAAAAAATGTGCTTACATATAATGTGAATACCATCACTGAATAAGTCAAATTGCAGGTTGAAATATAAAATGGTTACATTACCTTTCGATCATGAATTACCTATTACTGTTCTTACCTATCTCTACTTCAGCATATGGGGCAAATAACTTCTGAACAACTGATTCTAAGTCTTCTCTTGCTGTTTTCGAAGACAAACAGGTCAAATGGACCAAATCTGTTTAGAAATTAAAAAAAAAACCAGTGTTTTGAATTCTTGCTTTTTACACATTTTACTGTGTGCTCATTTTTAAGATATTATCTGGTGACATGCAGAATAGAGAGCTACAAAAGTTATCGTAACTTCAAGGAATTTAAGGGACATAACAACATACTATGTAAGTTGACCAAAGCTAAGAGAGCACATTACAATAAAAGAAAGTGTTGTGGCTCATTTTATAAAACAAGACTGAAAACAGAATACTAATTTGCGTAAATGAATACACTTCAGATCCATCAGCTAGAAGAATCCATTACATATGATTTACCATTAAGAATAAATCAAAATTCTGTATAAAATCTTTTTTGTGATTTTCTAAATACCACACTACTGGTATTTAGAATTCCTAAAAGTCTACACTCAAAAGTAGATCAGGGATGAAAAGTTATCTTCACTCAAAGCAAATACTAAAGGAATCAATCAATGAAGGAAATTCTTATGGTCTTGGAAAAAGCATGGATGGGACTAACTATATTTAAATACATTAGAGAATAATATCATTGCTGATATATTCATTTTCTTAAAACATCAAAAGCTTAATTTAGACTATTAGATTATTATTAAAAATAGGATAGTTTAAGATTGATCATGAGAGTCAGAATGCTCCTCGAGTGGATGCCACCCACGGGGTCACTGGTGGGGGCGGGGGGGGGGCACCTGGAGTCTGGCGTTTCTCCTGAAAAGGGTCTTCCTGGACACCCTGGGCTTTGGGAGTCTCCCGCGGGGGTCTTGTGACACAGAGAAGGCCACCTGGCCGGGTCCTGGGCAGGGCCCCTAGTCTGGTGGTCCCCCAGAAGTGCATCTTAGGGAGCACCTGACACTTTCCGCTCGGCTGCCTGGGTCCCTGTTCTCGTGGGATGCAGCATGGCCCGGGGACTTGTACCCGCGGGTTGGCTGTCTCTTGCCTGTGAGTGTCTGCTGAGTGAAGTGACAGGCTGGATTTCCCCACCATACGCTTCTGCACTCGCCACCATGGGGAAGGAGATATGGCTCATTTCCCTTCCCGCTGCTGGTTGGAAAGGTGTAGCCCAGCCAGTGAGGGGTGTGCTGTTGATGGCTGGTACTGTCTCTAGTTGAGTTCCTGCTGGTCCTTTGTTTTCTTTTTTGGTGGATCAAGAGAGTTTTTACTGAATGAAACTTAGAGATGGTGGCTGGGGGAGGAGAGAAAATCCATGTTCAGAGAGAACACGGACTTCTCAGAGTGGAAAAGGCAAAGAAACATTGAGAGAAGGGTAAAAGCGGGCTTGAAGAGTGAGCCTGTTTCCCCTGGGGAAGGGCTTTTTGTGTTGCTGTTGAAGCATGGAGGAGTTGGATCTTCTCGAAAGCCTCTCTGTGTTGACTGACAGGACCACGGGTTTTTGTATTTTGTTGCTATGGTGTATTACGTTAATTGTTTTGCTTATGTTGAACCATTCTTGCATCCCTGGGATGAGCCCCACTTGGTTGTGGTATATAATCCTTTTGATATATTGCTGGATTTTGTTTGCCAGGATTTTGTTGAGGATCTTTCTGTTGATGATCATCAGGGATATGGGGCGGGGGGTGGGGATTAAGAGGAAGGGGTGTTGTTCTGGGGTGAGGTTCTGGGCTGTCTGGTAAGATCTTGGGTTGTCTGGTAAGGTCCTCTGGTGGCAGGTGAGGTCCTGGGGATCAGGTGAGTTCCTGTGGCTCAGGTGAGGTTTTGGAGGTAATGTGACATCCTGGGGTGGTCGAGCCCCTGGAGTATTAGGTGAGGTCCTACAAGGTCAACTGAGTTCCTGAGCAGGGGGTGGGGGCGTGAGGTGAGGTACTGGGGTTCATTGAGAACCTGGGGTATCAGGTAAGATCCTGGTCCCCATTACCATCCCCATGTGTTATGTCATGTCCCTGTGTGTGACTGTTCTGTGTGACATCCCCGTGTGTGACCATCCCCATGTGTGACTGTCCCTGTGTGTTGTTCCTGTGAAATCCCTGTGTGTGACCTTCCCCATGTGTGACCTTCCCTGTGTGACGTCCCCGTGTGTGACAAGTGCACAGGGCATTATAGGAATTAGAAACACCATGTTCCGTTGCCTGTGTTGGGAAAATGAAAGAACCAGATACTCGACTTCTGCAGAGATGTGAGAAAAATCTGCTAAAAGTTTTTGCAGTCGCTATCAGCCAAGTCAGGCTATTTGCATAATGGCCATTGTTGGTGCCCAGTGCCTGTCAGCAGAGGACTGTCTTTAATGGGATGCAGTGCTCACTCTGATGAGTTTTATTCATTCGGGATTTGCATTTAAAGATCCCCGGGCCACCCAGCCTCCTGCTTTAGCACTGCCTGCTCCTTGCTGGCTCAGGAATCGGGATGCTGCTCCTGGTGATTTAACACGTAGTGTGGTCTGGGGCTGCTGGTAGACTAGATTCCCCGGCGGGACGTGGGCCTGTGTGTCAGCACAAAATCCTTACTGGTCATGAGGGTGGCCGCCGCCCACCGCTCCCGTGTGGACAGGAGATGGCTCTTTCCTCCAGCTCACATCCACTTGGGCTCAGAATCCCGTGTACACCACAGTGCTGCCCTGCGTGCTGGTGCCTTCCTGGGCTGTTTGACTGCGGGGCCCCAATTTGGCTGCGACCCCCGTTAGTTTTGAGTTTCACCTGTGCACCCCATTGGGGCTTCCTGAACCTCCATGGGTCTCGGTCTGGCCCCAGCTGCGGACCTCTGGGTTGTGCCCTCTGACTGACAGCCCTCCGTGTGCGAAGGGGCTCCTGGGTCCTTCCTGGCGGAATGTAGGGTCACCCCAGAGTGTCCGTCTTCGTCAGCCCCTCCAGCCGAGACCCCCCAGCCCCCGAGAGCTGCCCCTCCTGGGACCCCTGTTAGGGTGTAGAGGAGGAGGGGGCCAGACATGCAGGTGGCCAAAGGCACGCCTTAGTCCTTATAAGGGCATACATGATCCGATTGGCTGTCCCACAGTCATCCCATAGGCTCTCATTTACACACACAATCTAATTTGTCTTTCCAGTGGATGCCCACAGAGGGTCTAACCAATCAGGTGGCAGAAACAGCTTAACCGGTGGTCACTGTCACTGTCCTCCCGTTTATCGATTTGCTAGAGTGGGCCCAGTAATGTCTCCATTGTGACAATTGTTACTGTGTTTGGCATATCGAATACATCACGGGTAGCTTGCCAGGTCTTGCCCTGCGGGCAAGATACTCTCAGTAGCTTGCCAGGCTCTCTGAGAGGGGCGGAGGAATCGAACTCGGGTCGGCCATGTTGGCTGCGTGCAAGGCAAATGCCCTACCCACCGTGTTATCGCTCCAGCCCACCCGGTGGTATACCTACTATAAATGAATGTGCATACCTAGTCGGGCTTGTCTGGCATGGACCTGAAACACAGACCGTGGGGATATGGGAGCTAAAGTTGGCCACATGCTGTTTCACGAAGCTGGGGGAGCAGACAGGGCAGTGGGGGCTCAGGAAGAGAGTGACGAGGAGGGGGTTGCTCGTTGTTAGCCCAGGCTGTTAGCACAGAAAGGGGAAGAGTGGGTTTCTCAGAATCATAGGTTCCTGCAGGGGGTTAACGTAAAACCTCAGTCCCCCTGCCATGCAGGAAGACTCACGTCCCGGAGCAGGGGAACAGGATCTGAGGAGCCCGTAGGCGAGACGGGTGTACAGTGTACACACACTGCAGATGTATGTGTGTGTCCCCTGGATCCTGCCTCTCATGGAAGGATGCTGTTGAAGCAGGGAGTCCCTGCCCCCTGCCCCTGCCTCCCTGCCTTCGCTCTCTCCTTAATTCACCCCCAGGGAGCTGGGAAGTTTCTAGGAATGGAGATCTGGGGTGGTAGCATTTCTGGGGGTGGGGGAAGAGCTGGCCCTTGGCTGGGACAGGCTAGCTCCTTCCCATGCTTGGGCACCCAGAAAAGTCATTTAGTGTATGCCGGCTTCCTCTGAGCCTCTCCACCTCCTCGGGGTGAGGAGCCCTGTCGTGAGGAGTGGATACAGGCTTGCTTCAATTCTCTTGGAAAGACACAAGGGTGGACAGTGGCCAATGGTGGCCTCCCTGTACTGTGGAGCAAACATCAGGCTGTTCGGGGTGCATGCTGGGCAGAATACGGACACGGGGGGTGGGGGGAGCAGGCAGCGACCTCCAGCCTTCTCTAGAGTTAGGCTCAGTGTAACTTATAGGGTCCATCATGCTCATTTGGCCCTCTTCAGGAGGGTGTGGTGCCCTTGGAGGTGGCTATGCCCACGAGGATAGCCACCTTCTGTGGTTTCACCTTCTGTGATTCTCATAAGAATCACAACAGGGCAGAGATGTGCGCCGGGCCGGGGATCCAGGCAGACTCCCAGGGGCTTCTGGTGGCTGTCCCGGGCCCCCTGGACAGGGCAGAGCACGTGATGATGTCAGTTGGCCCCTCTTCTGTGTGGCTTGGCTGAAAGTGGGGGTGACTGGCCCCCATGGGGTGTGCAGGACAGCCAGAGCCTCATGCTGGACAGCTATGGGATCCTGCAGAGCCAGTGTTGACTGTCTCCTCTGGGCAGCCTGGCAGGCAGCGCAGGAGAGCAGGGTGCAGCCTCGCTGACGAGGGTAGGGGGTGTGCTGGGCACCTGACAGCCAGCAGTGCCATGGGCGGGGCCGCCCCCTAGTGGTTCCTGTGGGAACTGCAGCTCCAGGAGCCAGGAGAGGCCTGAGGGCATGTGGGGGTGTGTGTGAAGGGGGCTTGATCAGGAGCCCTGGTGGAGGGGGGACACACTGGTTGTGTTCAGTCATGGAAGGTTTCCATGGAGACTGAGTGACTCAGAGGCTGACGGGCCAGATACTGTATTTCACCGTAGACTTGGGCAGATTTCTTTCCACCAACAAAAGCAGGGCTGGATGGTTGTGGGAGCATTTCCCAGTGTAAATGGAATTGTTAGTATGGAAGTAACTTGGTTACCAAAAGAAGAATGTCCATAGTCCCTCACTCCAAAGCTCAAGCAACTACAACACTGCAC